AGGAAACGAAATATGGAAAAGGATTTGGATGGTTAAAAAATAAGAGTGTCTGGCTGGGTGTGGTGGCTGATGCCCGTAATCCCAGCAGTTTGGGAGGCTGAGGCAGGAGGATCACTTGAGGGTAGGAGTTTGAGACCAGCCTGGCCAACATGGTGTAACTAGTCTCTACTGAAAATACAAAAATTAGCTGGGTATGGCTGGTCATGGTGGCTCGGGCCTGTAATCCCAGCACTTTGGGAGGCCGAGTTAGGCAGATCATCTGAGGTCAGGAGTTTGAGACCACCCTGGTTAACATGGGGAAACCCGTTTCTACTAAAAATACAAAAAATTAGCTGGGGCATGGTGGCGAGACAGGGTCTCACTCTTCTGTCACTGGGGCTAGAGTACAGTGGCATCATCACAGCTCACTGCAACCTTGAACTCCTGGGCACAAGTGATCCTCCCACCTCAGCCTCCTGAATAGCTGGGACTATAGGTGCATGCCACCATGCTCAGTTAATTGCAAAAAAAAAAAACAAAAAAGATATACTGACCCTGTAGTTTCAAGGGCATTTGGGAACTGTTCACATATAACCCCGCCTAAATAAACCATATTCATAAATCTGTGTTGCCTCATCTCTCAATACTTAGATATAACTTTACATAAAGGACCCAGGACTGGGAGATAGAGAGCATATTCTCATGCTGTGTTCCAGGGCTTGGCCTGTACCATCAGTAGTAGCAGCAGCTCTCCTTTCCTCTTGTTGCCAAAAAGGGTCAAAAGCATCTATTAAGGGGGAAGGATGGAGAATCAATACATTATAATCTCCATGTCATTATTTTATTTATTTATTTATTTATTTTGGACACAGGGTCTGGTTCCGTCACCAAGGCTGGAGTGCAGTGGCGCAATCTGGGTTCACTGCAACCTCCACCTCCTGGGCTCAAGCCATCCTCTCACCTCAGCCTCCAGAGTAGCTGGAACTACAGGGGCGTGCCACCAAGCCCTGGTAATTTTTGTATTTTTTGTAGAGAGAGGGTTGCACTATGTCGCCCAGACTGGTCTTGACCTCCTGGGCTCAAGCGATCTGCTTGCCTTGACCTCCCAAAGTGCTGGGATTACAGGCGTGAGCCACTGCATCTAGCCTCCATGTCACTCTAATGTCTTAACACTATTTACCACCTTCTTTTTTTTTTTTTTTTTTTTTTTGAGACAGAGTCTTGCTGTGTTACCCAGGCTGGAGTGCAGTGGCATAATCTTGGCTCACTGCAACTTCTCCCTCCTGAGTTCAAGCGAGCACGTCTGGCTAATTTTTGTATTTTTAGTAGACACGGGGTTTCATCACATTGGCCAGGCTGGTCTCGAACTCCTGACCTCCAGTGATCCACCTGCCTCAGCCTCCCAAAGTGCTCGGATTACAGGCGTGAGCCACTACACCCAGCTGTTCACCATCTTCTTACTTTGTTCATGGCCTTAGTCCAAAGCCCAAGCCCCAACTCACTTGCTACTCTCCCTCAACACCTGTTGCAGGATCCATTATTACCTGTGGCTTACAGTCAAAGGAGCCTCTGTTTCTACTGCTGCAAAGGCAAGAGGAAAACTAATGGAGGTATGTTCTTCTGCCCTAAATTAAAACATGAACTACATTTGCTCACTTAAAAAGCAATTTATACACAGACACACATACACACACATATAATTGGGGTTAGGATTGGTACTACCTGATTCAAAAGTTAAACAGAATTTGATAGGCTAGTCTGAGAATATTGTCACTACAGGGAAACATTCAAAGCAATAAATGTACTTTGAAAGGATATGTCCAAAAGTTTTCATCATCTATAACAAAATCATTGTCAAATACTACTTACATTCTTTAGAAAAAAGCCTCTTTCTTTTACCCTGTCCACCTTCTGCACCTCCTCCAATTTCTTCATTTTCTTCCTCAAACTAGAAAATGTATATATAGAAATGTCAAATAATTGCCTTGCATTTGATATTTTAATAATAACAATGTTTTTTCCTTTTCAACAGATAGGCCAGAAAGCCTAAAGGAAGCAGAAAAAAACAAAAAACAAAAAAAAAAAAACACGAAACCTTAGCACTGAAGGAGCCTAGGTATCGAGTCCAATTTCCAACTCATCCAAAAATGGCTTCTACAATGTTCCTAACAAATAATCCTACTGCTTCTACGTGTAAGAGTTCCAATGACCATAGGTTTTATTTTTAAACAACTAAGGTGGCCTATTGCTACTGTTAAACAGTTGAGACTGAATCAAAGTCTACCTTTGTAGACTTTCAATTAAGCAAAACTAATATTTACTAAGCATTTGCTTATACAGTGCTAAAAACGTTCCTTAAGTAAGCCCGTAACCCTATTTTGTAACAAGAAAACTGATTGTCAAAGTTAAATAACTTGCTTAGAGAGAATGGAGATTTTGAAATCCAGGCTGTCTGACTTTCAATGCATTCTTTTCCCATTACTTCACAGTAAGTAGTTTTGTTAACAATTGAACTGTTGGTTCATAGTGAGCGCTAACAGATGTTAGTTTTGACCTCTGATGATTCTGTAAATGTTTCAGTGTCTGGCAAATACAGACCAAAATCAAGGGGAAAGGAGTCACAAAACCTACTCTTCCTTCATGTCCTTCCCCACTTTCTAAAATGATCAATCCTTAGGGCGTGAAGTCCCCGAATTCTGTCGGCTGAATTGACTAAGGCAAGCAGATCCGATCCTGAACTCTGCCTCCGCTACTGAGCCCGAAGGAGTGAAGAAAAGAGAGGTTTTGGACACAGACGGTCACTCACGGTGGGGTCTTCTTCCTCATCTGCCATCCCACTAGCCCGCCAACCCACAGCGCCCCGCCGGCTGGTTCCCAGCGGGTCATGCTACTTCCGCCGCCTCACTTCCGGTGACGGGCGGGGCTGGAGCTGGGCCTAGCTGACTGAGGCCTGCGGAAGGACGGTGGTGCTTTCCGGCCTGGCGGCGGAAATGCGACAGTCTCTGGCGGAGGAGGCCGGAGCTCCTCCCTGTAATACTGAAGGAATTGGAAACTAACAAAGAAAAGGAAATCACGGGCTACGTGGGATGTATCTCGTTGTCACCCCTAAATTTGCTACTGTGTATTGAATCACGGCTTCCTGTTTGGGGACTACGAAGCTATGGATCGTAGGAGGGCTAGCCAGCGGTCCTTTATCTGACATAAATGCTTTTAAATCATTTTAAAAAGTTGTGGTTCCACTGTTTCTAAGCACTATGTTAATTACTGGAGATACTGTGCTTCACCACAAATTTCCAAGAAATGGTGTCCCAAGAGTAAGCATTTAAAATTTTGTGAAGGTTTTTTTTTTTTTTTCAAACCCAAGTCCCTCTCTGTTGCCCGGGGTGGAGTGTGCGGTGGCGCGATCCCGGCCCACTGCAACCTCCACCTAGCGATTCTTTTGCCTCAGCCTCCCGAGTAGCTGGGATTACAGGCGTGCACCACCATGCCCGGCCTTATTTTTGGTTTTTTTTTTTCTGAGACGCAGCCTCGCTGTCCCCCAGGCTGGAGTGAAGTGGCACAATCCGGGTTCACTGCAGCTTAGACCTGCTGGGCTCAAGCCATCCTCCCACCTCAGCCTCCAAGTAGCTGGGATTACAGGCGCACACCACCAATGCTCGGCTAATTTTTGTATTTTTAGTAGATATGGGGTTTCGCCACATCACCCAGGCTGGTCTGGAACTCTTGATCTCAAGCGATCTGCCCCCCTCGGCCTCCCAAAGTGCTGGGATTACAAGTGTGAGCCACTGTGTCCATCAGGGAAGGCTTTTGGTCGGAACAATGGTTGGGAAAACCACAGGCATTGGAAGGCCAGAGCTAGGGATATAAAATATGTGTCCTACAGTGTAATAGATGATGCTACATAAAGAAAATCCCGTAATACACACGATTTCTGAATGTCCTGCTGAACATTCGGTGAGTGAAAATTAGTTATGTGAGGCTTGAACCTATCTTTGTTAATAAACACAAAGCATTTTCCCACACTTTCAATGTACGTTGAATTTTCTAGGAATGTTATTGCCCCAAAATTGAATAGTAATTGTATTTTTTTGTTTGGAGTTCATTAAGAGTTGTGTACCATTTCAAGAAATAACGTCACCAAAAGCAACATCACTTGTAATAATTTGAATAGTGAATACTGAAAAAAGAACTTTGATTTGAGAAACGTGAGTTAAATTATTAGGCCCAGAGAGGCATTAAAATGAGAGCCAATGACATCCTACTTGCCCCCTTTTGAGCTATGTATTTACGTCTTAAAACTGCTTGCCATTCCACAAGTATTAGTTATAAATTAGCCTAATTATGCCCCACCAGACACTATATCCCACACCCTATAGCTTGATAATGTTTAGCCAATCACTAATCAATGTTATTTTTGTAAACCAATGAGAATTCCTTAAAGACAACTTTGTATCAGCCCACTCCCTGTCCTCATTCTTTTTCTTTAAAAATCCACTTGTACTTGCTGCTAATCTTAGAGTGTATTCCGGGCCACTTTATGCTGCTGAGTTGCAATCCTTAAGTCTGGCCCAAATAAACTCACTATTTATATTAATTTTGCCTCAGCTTCTTCCTTTTAGGTCGACAATAGTCACTCAAATCAGTCTGCATTCAAAGTAATTCTACATATAGGTACAAGCATCTGACATCTTCATTATACCCCCTAGTGCTCGAGTGTTTATATATTGAAACATATGTTGGCTGGGCGCGCTGGCTCACACATGTAATCCCAGGACTTTGGGAGGCCGAGGCGGGCGGATCACCTCATACAGTTTGAGACCAACCTGGCCAACAGAGTGAAACCCTGTCTCTACTAAAAAATACAACAAAAATTAGCTGGGCGTGGTGGTGGGAGCCTGTAGTCCCAGCTACTGGAGAAGCTGAGGCAGGAGAATGGCGTGAACCCAGGAGGCGGAGCTTGTAGTGAGCAGAAGTCCTGCCACTGCACTCCAGCCTGGGCAACAGTATGAGACTCCATCTCAAAAAAAAAAAAAAAAAGAAAAAGAAACATATGTTACTATTTTTACTTTACTTTATATTACCTTTATGCCTGACCTCCTGGACACTGGATCACTGGATCCTGTTAGGGTTTTATGTTATTTTCTAAATTATGTGAGTAGGTAGATATATTAGTTATTTATTGTTGTATAACAAATCACCCCAAAACTTAGTGGCTTAAAACAAATATTTATCACACAGTTTCTGTGGGTCAGCAATGTGGGTGCAATTTAGCTGGGTGCCTGTTGCTCAAGGTCCCTCCTGTTGCAGTCAGGATGTTGCCTGGGGCCACAGTCATACCTCAAGTGTTGATGGAGGAGAATTTGCCAGAGTCACTCACAGGTTGCTGGAGGTTTCAGTTCCTCAAGGTTGTTGGATAAGGGCCTCAGTTCTTCACCGGATGTTGCCCAGAGGCCTCCCTCAGTTCCTTCCATGTAATCCACTCCATAGGGCAGCTCACAGTGTGCCAGTTGCCTTCCTCCAGAGGACACAAGTGAGAGAACCCAGAAAACAGAACTCACAGGTTTTTTGTTACCTAATTTTGGAAGTGACATCCCATCATTTCTGCCCTAATTCACTAAAAGTACAGCTAAGGTGGGGTGCAGTGGCTCACGCCTGTAATCCCAGCACTTTGGGAGGCGGAGGTGGGCGGATCACGAGGTCAGGAGTTCCGAGACCAGCCTGGCCAACATGGTAAAACCCCGTCTCCACTAAAAATACAAAAATTAGCTGGGCGTGGTGGTGGACACCTGTAATCCCAGCTACTCAGGAGACTGAGGCAGGAGAGTTGCTTGAACCCGGGAGGCAGAGGTTGCAGTGAGCTGAGATGGCACCACTGTACTCCAGCCAGGGTGACAGAGTGAGACTCTGTCTCAGAAAAGAAAAAAAGTACAGCCCAAATTCGTGGAGAGGGGATTACATAAGGGCAAGAATATTGCCCTGGAGATCACTGGGGGCTTTCTGAGAGGCCACCTACCACAGTCAATTATATTATTTTTGAATTTCTCTGCACAATAATGGAAACATTGTATTTGTTATTAATATTTAAGGGAGATTGTTGAGCCTGATAGGGTTGAGAACTGCTTTTAGGTAGTGATCCAGTGTCCAGGAGGTCATGCATAAAACATTCATAGCGTCTGTTATCAAGGGAGTAGATAGGTAAAATATGCTGGATGCACAGCATGGAGTACCATGCAGCAATCAGAAGCAATAGATGTAGCAACATGAGAGAACTCGAAAGCAGTTCTAAGTTAAAAAAGTAAGAAATAAAATTTATAGCATAATACCATTTATAGAAATTAAAAGTACTACTTATTTTACAGGAAAATATAAGAAAGCATAGATATTAAACACATGAGTAAGTTACAGTCTAGGAGAAATGGGAATAAGGATAAAAGGAATACATTGATCAATAAAAAGTGAAGGACTTTGGAAGGGCCAATTGTAATAGTATGCCATGAACTGCAGCATGTGAATAATTCAGTCCTGTGAACCTGAGATCCAAAATACAAAATGGGGGAAAAAATTGTAGTAGGATAAGCAGAGCAGAAGGAAAACACAGCGTGAAAAGTCATGGTGTGC